CCATAAAATAAGTTGCATGACTCTGACCGTGCCGTTCTTTCACCCCCGTGTCCCTGAGTCCTCCGGCACTGCTTAGTAATCCGTATAACAAAGGAAATGTCATTTTGGCTTCTAAAAAATGGTCGCTGTTCCTCATGATTCCCGGGGGACCATCCATCATTGTTAAACCTGAATGCGTTTACAGAGCAGGGCAGCATTGTTTACTCCATTCTGTTATACGATTCTTTATTCAGCCTAAATACTGAACAGAAACGGCATTTTATTATATTTGTGTAAAAAAAGGAGAATCTTATCTTTTCTGGGGACCAGGGACCGATTTGTATCCTCGTGCCCCTCATACAATTCAGCATTTCCTATTATCGCTGTAGACGCCACAGCTTCCCTCATGACACAACTCTCCCCATACGTATTTATGCAAATTAGCCAGCCGCCATGTTTCCCGCCTCTAGCGGCGGAGGTGTAGACGCACCAAAATGGCGGCATCCTTCACCTCGTGTCAGCAGCCTTAGCAACCGTTGCTGGGAAGTGGATGTAAGATGGCGCCCGCGCTTGCCGAGGCGGCGCCATGACAGTTACTGGGAAAAAAACAAAAAAAAGTCGGCGCGCCATTAACATGAAGCCGAGTTTCCCGTGCGGGGATGAGAAACGTTACCAGAGTTACACTTTACACGCCGGCATGGGAATAAAAAATCGAATTAGGTTTCGGTCGCGCTGAGCGGCTTTCCCCTTTGTAGTCCAATCAACATCCGGGCACGCAGGAAGAAGCCTCCGCCATTACTGTGTCTGTCTCTTCCTCCTGCGAGGGGAGGAGTGGTCGTCAAGATGGCGCCCGTTAACATGACATGGTTCTTGTCACACACAAAAAAAAATACGTAGTGTTTTCTTAATTAAACTCCTAACTGAAGGCAGCCATGGACCAGACAAAGCCATGCAAGGCGCCTGCAGTGCCAGCCCGCCATGTTTGGTTTATAAGTGGCGTCTATGTAGCCGCCCTCCCTCCACATCTTGTGTTTGTGTTCCAGACGTGGAGGGTGCGGCTACGTTCCAACATGGCGGCTCCCACACAGGGCGGCAAAGTTTCTTCAGCGTCTCCCTGCCAACGTCCCGTCATGAATCAGCCAATCCGAGGACGCCATTGTGCTGAGAGCCAATGGGTGCCGTCTGAGGTGTAGGGAGCCATGAATACCACAGCGGGCACAAAGCACCTCATCGTTGTGTCATGATGAATACAGACTGAGAGCCGAAGAAGATGGCTCCGAAATGGCTGAAAAAAACGATGGACTTCCAGGACAACAAAAACAAAGTTTTAATAAAGCAATTACAATAATTGCACCACATTAAAAGAATATTCCATTATTGTTACCCCATTTCCACATCTTATATCCATATATATATATTGCGCACAGCACCGTCTGCGTAAATAACGGCGTAACGCCCTGCAGTCACAGGTGCGGCGGTCGCTGCTCTAATCAATGACAGGCTGTGCGCGGTGTTACATAGATATACGCAAATCTGAGTGACTACAGTCGTACAGGTTTGTATACACAGTGACGCAGGCTGCCTGTGGTCGTTGATGCGACTACGGCCCGGTACGCGCCTATAGCCACTCGGATTTATTTATATCCGCGGTAAAAAAGCACACACAGCTACGTAAAATAAAGTCACGTATATCCACGTGAAAAAACACGCTCGCCCCGCGGACTGTCATTGATTTGAACAGCATATGTTGCGCCTGTGACAAAAACATACAGTCGTTAGTCTAAGCATTCTACCTTTAGGTCAGGGGTAGCCAGGCTTCGGCCTTCCAGCCGGTGAAACACTACCAGTCCCATCATGCTTTGCCTGTTGAGTGACAGTCGGAGTCTTTCAATGCTTCATGGGATTTGTAGTTCCACAACAGCTGAAGGGCCCGAAGCTTGGCTGAAACATGGTCACATTCCCCAACTTAACTATATTTTGGGTTTCTTCCCCCCTGGGATTCTGTAGCCATTTGAATTTGGCACGGCTGTGTGTGGCTCCGCCCATTACATATAAAATATCAGCAGGACACATCAAGGAGAAGCGCCCCATGATCAGTGAAGTTGGGACAGTATAACGGGGTAGCAGTGACATCATTACTGTGCTGTACATAGCATGTGCAGAGAACAGAGCTGTGGGAGGGACCCAGAAGGCTCCACACACCACAGGCTGCCTGCAGAAAACAACAGGAGGGGGCGGAGACAAGACCAGTCACCCTGCACAAGGAGAGAGAGCAGCAGTGACTGGTCTTTAATACAGTAGGGGGCAGAGACAAGACCATTCACCCTGCACAAGGAGAGTGTAGCGGGGACTGGTCTTTATTACAGGAAGCTCTAAGCCTCACATTGGATTACTGCACATATCTGGATGTAATACATATTCGGCGATTCACGTGGGTGGTGATAATGCAGGTGCACCATTGGCAGATGGTTGTCGCCAACTTTAGGGGAAGCCTAAAGGTAGTCTGTGCCGCTTCCTATAATAAAGACCGGTCACTGCTGCTTTGCAGCTTGTGCAGGGTGACTGGTCTGGTCTCCGCCCCTTCCTGTAGTTTTCTGCTGGCAGACTATAGTGGGTGGAGCTCCCGGGCCCCTCCCACAGCACAGTAATTATGTCACCGCTCACAAAGTGGATTTTTATCCGTCTATATAGAAAAATATTCAAATAAACATATTTTTGTGCACGGAGTTCAGCTTCGAAAAATAAGCGCGTCCGGGGTGTGTGTGGCTTTGCGCAATTGTTGGTGTACGTGGGCATCCAGCCGCCTCCACCCATTCACTACCACGGGCAGCTGTGTATCCCAGAAACGGAAATACGCCACAGTTTTTACGTTATATGGCCTCATGTGTCCGTGAGGCCTAAGCCCTCATTCACACTGGAATAGGCTGTTAGTCCTATAGGGGACAGGGGCTGCGTACTAATCACACGCAGCACCTGTCCTTCCAGGAGCGGCCCGATAGGGCCGTGCACGCAGCACGGAGCTGTACGTGACGGCCTATTCACACGTTTGCGTAAACATGTCTAGAGGAATGTTGTTTTCACATCATCCTGCATTGACGCCTGAGCCGAGCGTATTTTTGGCGTTTTTTTGTTTACCACGCACTGTGTTTTTATAAAAGCTCGGTATGAGTTCTATTGCGCGTGTGTGAAGCGTCGGGCGTTTTAGCTTTGCTCCAATGAAAAGAAGTTCCACAATGGGAGAGTAGTTCTTCGGGCGCAAAAACGCCTGCGTGTCGTACCTTTACAGCGTCCAGCTACAAGCGTCTGAGAGGAATTTATCAAAACTGGAGCAGTTGCCCATGGCAACCAATCTGAGTCTCACCTCAGTGTGTTCAGTTAAGCATTGAAAACTGAGAGAAGCTGATTGGTTGCTATGGGCAACTGCTCCAGTTTAGAGAAATCCCCCCCACGAGCGTTCAAATGTGAACAACACCACCGGAATTGCGCATGTCGAGTGCAGCCGGGCATAGGGAAACGCACCATAAAACGCTGAGGGGTGTGAACGGTGGCTTGTGGAACATTTTGTGTATGTTCTTTTTTTCCCGCCAGCGCGACCCTCCGCAGACGTTAGTTTTTTTTTTATTTTTATTAAGAGGTCGTTGCCCCTAATGACTTTAGCGAGGGAGCGCGACTCCATTTTCCAGTCCAGGCGTTTTAGTTTTGCTCCAATGAAAAGTTCTACAAGGGGAGAGTAGTTTGTTGGGCGCAAAAAAAAGCCTGCGTGTCGCACCTTTACAAAAAGAAAACGAGCGTCCAGCTACACGCATCTGAAAGGAATTGATCAAAACTGGAGCAGTTGCCCATGGCAACCAAAATGAGTCTCACCTCAGTTTGCCGTCATCGCCCCCAAAGGACTTTAGCGAGGGAGCGCGACTCCATTTTCCAGTCAGCTTGTATTATAACCCTTTTGGATAATTGTAAATGATAACCTTTTTATATGTATTTTTCTTTTAATCTTATTTTGTATTTTATCATATAATTTTTTAATTACATTTTATCTTTTATTTCATTTTTTCCCTTCACAACGGTGAATTTTGCACACAGGCCGCAGTCAGTCTCTCCAGCGCCCAGCCCCCTCTCCCTACTACAGCGCGCGGCGCAGTCCCCGCCTCCATCTTATTGTCTCCGGAGGAGGAGGAAGACGGGAGGCGGTCGCTGACAAGATGGCGGCTCCCAGGGAGGCGTGAAAAGAGGCTCCGGTGCCGTATCCCGTGTTCGCTCACCGATTTCCCCGGTGGCCGGCGGTTTATGAATTGCCTTGGTGCGGCTCGTCCTCGGGTTCGGTCCGTTTGGCTAATTTTCCCTCACATCGGCCGAGTTAGGGGAGATAAGCGGTAGCGGCGGGGGTGGAGCCTCCACTTTCCTCCTCCATCTCCGGCGGACAGCCGTTTCCTCGGTGCCAGCGCTCCCCTCCCCCTCCGGTCTCACAGCGCCTTTTGACGCCGTGACTCGCCTCCCTCACCGTGTGCCACCTTTTCCCCGGCGGAGAAAGAGGAGGCGGCGGCGTTGTCGGTGTGTTGTCGCCCCGCTCGCCGCCATCTTTGGTTCTCCTAGCAGCTTCTCTTTATTGGTTTGTTTGGACGGCACAAGATGGCGGCTCCCATGGACTCCCTCAGCTTCGCTGCTCCCGGGCGTCTTTAAAGAAAGGAGCGAGGCAGAGAGAAGGAAGAAGCGGGCGGGCCGTGCCCCTAAGGGGCAGCGGGGTGCTCAGTTGTCCTCCACAGCCGGACCGAAGGTGGGATCGTCCGGTTCCACAAGCGGATTGTTTTCTTCCCCCCCGGCCGCCGTCATAAAATGGCGGCTCCCATGGACTCCTCAGCGCCTCAGTGAGAGCCGGCTAGGCCCAAGCCCGCTCTTTCTCCTTTTAGACCCCCGATTTTAGAAGCGGCCTCGCCTTACCCTCTTTGCTATTTTTTTTTTTTTTATCCTAATTCCGGACTTGTTTTTTTTTTCACTGGTCTCGCCGGCTAAAGGAAGAGTGCGCCCTCCTCACCGCCAGCATGGCTTCCACACCGGCGGTGACCGGACAAGCGGCCCTGCAGCCGCGCTGGAAGAGAGTGGTCGGCTGGTCGGGCCCGGTACCTAGGCCCAGACATGGACACCGGGCTGTGGCCATCAAGGAGCTGATCGTGGTGTTCGGTGGAGGAAACGAAGGGATCGTGGATGAGCTGCACGTCTACAACACCGGTGAGTGGACTGTCTGCGACCGGGGAAATACAAGTCCCAGCAGTCTCTGCGGCCTACGGGCCCTGCAGCCACAGGTGGCTTTTATTATTGTAGATTACTATAGGCGGACACCGGTACTTTGCTCGCTCCTATCTGTATACATGAAGGTGCTTAGTCCTCCAGCTGCTCGAGGCACTACAAGTCCCAGCATGCATTGCTAGCCTTAAAAATTTCCAATTGAGCCTGAAACGTGCTGCATTGACAGCCGGGGGAAGAATGCCAATTGCGGTGGACTACACGTCCCAGCAGCAGGTGTCTAGTTTTCTAATTTAGTACTGATTGAGATGTTTATGATTGGTAACAGCTGTGCGCACATAGATACACGTGGGGGTTATCAGGCCTACTTGTAGGCCCATGGGGGCACACTGGCAGTGCAGAGGCAGCAGTCCCCTTTCCTGAGCACGCCGCCCCCGCCTGCCAGCCAGCGCTGCACTTCTGTGCTTTTTAAAATCCACAAAGAAAAATGGCGGGTTTACCCAGCAGGAGGATCAGAGACAGACAAGGAGGCGGGGCCAGGGGGAGAGGAGGGCGGGGATGGACAGGGGGAGTGGGGGGCGTGCACAAGCATCGGATAGGAGGTATGGAGGGCGGGGATTGGAGGAAAAGAGGGCGCGGCCAGGGACAAACAAAGGAGGGCTATGTCAGGGACAGACAGGAGGGGGCGGAGTCGGCGCTCTGGGAGCTCTTGCTAGCCACCTAGCGGTGACGCTCTTCACTGCACATCCACGACTCGATCTGCCCGGCAGCTGTGTGATTCCATGCAGATGTAACGGACAGATTACACCTACAGGGAGGGGAGTTTATCCAAATTTGGAGCAGTTGCCAATAGCAACAATCAGCGACTATCTTTTTTCAAATCTTGGCAATCTGAAGAATGAAGCTGATGGGTCTCTATGGGCAACTGCTCCAGCTTTGAGAAATTACCGTCCGTTACTGTATCTATGATCCGCTCTGTACTTTTATCAAAACCCAGTTGTGATGAATTCCACCCCCCTACACACACAAGGGTTGATTTAATAGGAACTGCAGTGGTTACCCATGGTTTTTATTTAATTTTCTAAACTAGAGTACCTGGTTGCCACGGGCAACAGCTCCAGATTTTGTCTGCTGCAGTTCTGATGAATTCCCTTTACAGTATCTGTGCAGTCTGCACCTTACTGATGCCAGTATGGTTTTATCCCCAGTGTAATGGAATGCCATGTGGGGGGAATACTTTTCACATTTGCATGCTTAGTCAGATAACGGTCCTCCTTGGCTAGTATTGACGATGTCCGACAGTGAAACGAAAGTTCAGAAGTATTTTATTCCGAGAGTAGTGGGTGTGGTAACAGACCTCTAGCTTAGGTAGCGAGTCTATTCGAAGGGGGTGAATGTAAACCTCGGTCTGTCCTCAGACAAAAGGTCAACCTCTGAGAGCATTTGTTCCTTTTCTGCCATGTCATATCTGAATATCTTTATTAAAGAATGGAAGCATTGCAAGGTCCCTGAGGGTTCCCTTTTTGTAGGTTAGGCAATTATCATAGAGCACTTGGTCACATTTCTATGTTACTTGTATCTGAACGTCTTCTTTAAACGCGGTAACCATTTTGAGTTCCTCCACACCCCTGATGGACCCTTTTGTAGGATTCCTCTCTTGGGAAGGAGTATAATTCCCGGCTCTGTCTGATCGTCTTTTTCCAGCATGCGATTCCTTTGCTGTCTCGTGTGAGGAGTAAGTTCCCATATAGTGGTCACATCCTCCTTTTTTGTGTTGGTCATTTACAGGTGCTAGAGGTTTTAGCATTGTTCTTTTATAATTATTTTATATCTGAGCAGACTAAGCAAACCTTTATCTAAAACTCTTCCATGCTGGACTAGTATTTCCAGGGTCATTCTTTGTAACACGTCACAGTCCCCGCAGACATCAGCCTGCTACATTGTTACATTTATGTTCAATATTTCATTTCTGCTTTGTATTGTTTTTATACATTTGCTGGGTTAAAGTGGGGCTGTATTCTTTTTTTTTTTTTTTTACATTTTCCTTGCATGGTTTGTGATCCCATGTTGTCCTGTCACTGGTGATGGCTCCTTCTCATGTAAAGATAGATGTTGCTTTTGCACAGCTCAGTAAATGGTTCATCTTTTCTTCAGTTGCATTGGAGAGCTGTCATGTACGCGTTTCCTGTGATGTGCTCTGTATACATTCTCTACCCCGACCGTATGGAGCTGAAGCTCCGGCTAATGAGTTCTCATGTAACCAATCGGCTTGAAGCTGCTGACTTCACAGCTCCGGCCAGCTGAGACTCCCGGGCGCCAAAATTAAACTTTGAAAAATGTGCAGCTGAGGATTGTTCCCTCTCTACGAGAAATCTTCTTAACTGTTCAGTATTACTGTTTAGTATTACACAGCGATGGCTAGAGATTATTAATCTGATTCAGAAATGGATCACATCAAGGGTTTTATTTTTTTAATTTAATTAGAGCACATTCAGTGGATTAGCAATGATCAGCTCACTGAAAAAATGAACCATTTTCTATACTGTTATGTGCAAATAAATGACAAGTCACATGACCATTTCTTTGTATAAGGTGCAGTTTTTAAAAAAAATACAGTTTTTAGCTTTTTATGAGCCAAATAAGGGCTAGTTCACACCAAGCGCGTTCCAGGAGCAGAGCAGTTACAGACCGGATCAAAAACTGCGTCCAATGTATTCCAATGGTATTTTGGGCTCTATTTCACACTGGAACGTTCAGTTCCAGGGCATATAAAGAACTGCAGCAAGCCCTATTTTACCTGCTCTGGAACACATGCAAACGCATAAAAAATGCATGCAAGCGCACTGAAAGCCCATTTTAAACTAAAAAAAACTGCCCGTAACGCATAAAAATCGCGGTGTAACGCACTGCGTGTGCAGAAACTCATTCAGATCTGGTCTGCATTTGGTGTGAACAAGCCCTAAATGTCACATGACAATTCCTTAATTTGTTGTCCAATAGTGGTGCTCTCTGTCCATAAACTTCCTCTTCCCTCCTGCGATGCTGTTCCTCACTCATTATCCATTTATACATAGCGGTAGGGTTTTCTGCATGGAAAACTTCGCCGTATGAAAACGTGCAAATGCGTTTGTGGCTATTAGTATAGCCAGAACAAGTGGAATCTGGCCAAAAAAATTTAGGACCTTTTTTGCAGGATGCACGTTATCGTACGGTGCAGACGCCGACCTAAAATGAATAACTTGCATCGAAAAGCATTATGTGAATGGAGCCAAAAACTACCGTTGATTTGACCCCATCAACTAATAGAAAGAAAGTTCTTTTGAAAATCTAAGCAGTGTATGGCCAGCTTAACTTGACCGGCCGCACTGGAAATAATGGGATTTCTTCATGCCGTAAAAATGCATTTGTTTTGCTGTGTGAAAACAGACAGGTGTAGGAGTACAACAGCAAGAAGTTTCCCAGCACACTCACCAGTCAGCATGCAAAAGTCACCGCTAAGGTTAAAAACAGGTTTTTGATACATGTCTTCTGCAGAATGTGTGCAAGGCACCCTTTATATAGTGCGGTGCAGTCCTAACTCTAACCTATGAGAGTCTCCATCTTGGAGCACGTGTAGCAAAAGATAAACTTGGGTGAAAGTTTGCCATGAGGTAGCCCAACCTCCTTAGGTGTAGGAGTACGGGAATGAACACAAATCCCACTGTTTACATGCAAAGCCGTACTTGCACACTGCACCAAATTCAAACCCTCTGGGTCCAGTGCGGTGTGTAAGTTGCACGCCCGTACAGCCACGGCTTCCACCAGCCTGTCTAAAACAAAAAAAACAACCTTCTAGTTTTTGTTTACAATTGTACATAATGCTCAGGGGTGTGCAAATTAAAACCAAAATAATTTGTCCAAGAACAAAAGTGGTGGCCCAATCTGCTCGTCCCTCATGACAATCTACTTGTTCTGACATAATAATAACACATTGGGGGGAATTTAACATAGCACTTGCGAGTGTTTGACCTTGCACGTAAAATATTTGCACCAGATTTATCAAGCTACTGTAATGTTGATAAATGAGTTTTAATAGACTCCAAGAAAGAAGACTTCTAACTAGAGGCAAAAAGCTTAAGGCCTCCTCCACACCTGAACGTTTTGTAGCGCGTTCTACGCTCGACAAAACGCTCAAACATCTAAATCCCATTGTATTCAATGGTCTCGTTCCCACCTTGGCGTATTTCAGCCCGTCCCTAACGCGCTACAAAACGGCCCACGTCTGAAAAGGTACAGGTACTACTTTGGGCCGTTTTTGTTGAGCGTTTCCATTGGGATACAGCCAAGTAGCCCTCAGAAACGCGCGTTTGGCGCACAATTTTTTTACCGCGAATCGGGGTTAAAAAACCGCGCGACAGACGCGCATATGCAATACGCCTAGGTGTGAACCAGGCCTAACTGTCGCACCTTGAAGAAGTGGTCATGGGGACTTCTTAAGTTGTGAGTGTTTTTTCTTAGGTGATGCTCCAGTTTCAGACAGCCCAGAACAAGTGCAGATAAAAAAACGTGCAAAAAAGGTGCAAAAACCATGCAGTTGAAAAAGTAGTGCAAGCTCTGAAGAAAACAGGGGCACATGTTAAAAGACAGATTTGCACATAAACAAAAATGATCTAAGAGGCTAAAACTGGCGCAAGTGCTTTGATAAATCCCCACCCCCCATTGTATTTAGCAGTGCTAAGAATTGCTTCTCATTGGTCAGTGCGGACCAGCAGGCTTTTTACAAGTGATTTCCGCGGCACCTCTGAGATCACTTGTACAATATGAGTGGCGGCTTCCCCGCTGTACGTTTTAGCTCTGCTTGCCCGATGCAAATATATTCCCAATTTGAGATTCATATACATAAAATATAAATAAAATAATTCTAAAACATTTATAAGTTTGCATTTGCGTCTGTTAGGGAATACTATTAACTGCATTGTTTGGGCGTAAAACATATTGTTGCTTGC